TCCCATGCTACTACGTGTTGGGTAATACCTACCTCCAAATAAGTCTGGGCATATCGGGTTGCACGGGTTAAATAAAAAATTACCATCACCAGGTTGAATCATGGTTTAAGCACAAAAAACTAGGTCTACTAAATGGTTATCCTGATATAACCGATAACTGAACCGAAACTAGTGTTTGATGGTTATAGCAGTAACTGAATAAATAGTAAACGATCGATTTTTTGTTGTGAAATTTAATTAATTACTAACTGACTGCTAAATGATTAGTAATCGGCAGCTAAACGACTAGCCGATTCAGGTCATCCACATAGTTAGGGCCGATAACAATAGGCCTCGATGAGCCGCGTGCATAGGTCAAACTAATGAGATGTTTGAAAGCCTACAAGATCTCTTGCCTACTCTCGCTTTAATAGTGACTTAGGTTCAAATGAGTATAGACAGCAACAGGGCTTTTAGTGCCACTCTATGGGCAGCCTAGTTGACAGTCCGCGGAACCGCCCTAAACTCTATACAATGAGAGAGAGACTCAAGAATCAGAAGACAATCTCGAAGGATAGGGCCACCAACGGAATCCTCCACTGCACCAAGACTAAGATGACAGATGACCACTGCTGAATCGCCCTTGATGATGACACGAGGCGAACTTCTAAAAGCTATAAGCAAGATCGCATCCCTAGATGCAAGGAGCTCTGCAAGGTACAGGTTTGAGATCCCTTGATGCTGAAAACCCGAGGCAAGCAACACATGCCCGTCCGAGCCACAAAACCACAAGGCCGGACGAGCACCTAGAGGCTTGGACAACATCAAAATTGACCTTTCGGATGATCTTGAGGAGGGCATTCTTAGGACTGGCTAGAGGAGGCAGGCACACGAGTAGGAACAAAAGGGGCAGGCGACAAGGAGGAGAGCACTTCACAGACTTGAGAGGAGAACTGGCGGGCAAGTGAACGGACATGAGGTTGGGTATTTTCTAATCCCACTTTATTTCTTGATTACCATATTCTTCACAAGAGGCATACGACTTGGAGAATATGGGTTTAGAACTGCTCTAATAGCATAACTTGACATTAAAATTAAAAACCCTATTCATTAGTAGGCACCGATAACTCGGATTATAACTGTTCAAAACAATTGACTGTTCGATAATCATCGTCTGGAATTTTTTGACAATGTAGGCTGTAGCCTGTAGCATGAAGCAGCATAGTAGAAGGAGCACAGTAGAAGTTGGACTTGCACTTAGTAGCTCGAAAACAATCAATGACATTTAAACTTCCATGTAATTTCGTGGCGTTTATGAGTTGGATAATTTTTGTAAGGTCTCTTATTCTTGTCTCCTTCTTTAATCAAAATTGACAGTATATTGGGTTATTGTGTACTTGTGTTGGATTGAGTTGATTATGGATTGATATATGTGTTTAATTATTTTTTATTTAAGAAAAATCTACAAAAATGTACCATTGAAAAAAAGGAGGTCTTCTGTTGATTAGGTTACTGATTGATTATTTTGGTATACCTTGTCGAATCACTTGCTTAACGGATACCTGGTTAACTGATTAAATAACCGAGAACCGACTCTACGGTTATAGTTAACCAATTAATATAAACGGTACAGTTAATGATACGCACAAATTGCTTAATGGGTAGTAGAGAACCGACTAAATGATTTTGGTTTTAACCGAACTGAGCTGATTGCAAGAAAAATACCATACCATTACAACTGATATGAGAGAAAAACCACGCGAACCCAAATCCTTTGGAATCGGTGGTTTGGCTCACATGATTTTGGAGTACTATTGGTAGGGATGGGCAATGGTCTGGTATGGTTGAGATCAGATCTAACTTAGGAGAACTACGATTTAATAATGAAAGATACTCTTAGGACCAAGGACCAGACCAATAGTGCACTCAGCCTGCTTTGGTCCAGTTTTATCCGATCCAAATGTTAGTTAGGTACATTTTTCTTTAGTATTTATAAAATTCATATGCCCAAGGAACGGACCGAACCATATTTTATGTGATTCAGTATGGTCCGATCCAAGCATCGATTTGATTTGGTGTGGTCCGGTGGGGGCCAACTCATTGCCCACTGCTAACTATTGGTGCCTTCCATTCCATGGTTGTCATGCCGGCCGGTTGAGCCTGGTTCAACCGGTGTTGGTCATAAAACTAGCGTGAACACTATCGGTATGACCAACATGATCGACTTTCAAATTCTAAGCAAAATGATGTCGTTTTAGTGAATTTAATTACTAAAAAAATTATTTATTATTTATTTCATGAATTTAAAAATAAAAAGTTGATGTTATTTGTTGGATTGTAACTTTGTAAGTAAACCATTTTAAAATATATTTTATATATAGTTAAATTTATTGAATGTTAATGATTTTCATATATAATTTGTTAAACCATAAACCGGCATAACGGTTTAAATCTGTTTAACACCCTTGGTGCCTTCCCTGAATTGTGAGATAAATATATAAATAAATAAAGAAAGAAAGAAAGGGAGCGAATTATGCAAAGTCGGAAGTCGTAACAACAAAATCTCCTCTACTTTCGTTTCCACTGCAGTTTTCCTCTCTCGCAAACGAAAACCCATAGAAAACGAACAACAACAAACCCTCTTCTCCCCGAATTACTTTCTTCACCAAATTTATCCCGTTTACCGATTGAACGACCACCCCCTAGTCGCCGCGACCTCATAGTCTTCGCCGGCCAGAAGCTCCGATTCCCAGGTCCACGACTCCGTTCCGTCAATGGAAGAGTACCGCCGTTGAATCGGGCCAGCCAGAGGCAGACGCAGCAAGGAAGAAATTTGACGGACCTGCAGACAGACAGAGAGATCTAAAGGACATTCGAAATTTGTAACTTTTTTATGCTGTAATGGGTGCCGCTGGTTCCAAACTTGAGAAAGCTCTTGGCGATCAGTTCCCTGAAGGCGAGCGATACTTCGGCCTCGAGAATTTCGGCAACACTTGCTACTGCAACAGCGTCTTGCAGGTTCCCTCCCCTCTCTATCTCCCCAATCCTTGTCCATTCGGCTGATTGTCTTTTGTGGGGTTTCGAGTACTCCAAATTCCCCCAAAACGTCTTTGTGAACCCCCAATATGCTTATGGCCGTGGGTTTTTGGGGTTCTCTGCATACGTTGCTAGCTGAAATCTCCTATGAAAATTTACGCTCTTTGTGGAATAGATGATGGTGGAATTTGTGATTAGGTCAAGATTGTTATTATTTTGCGCTGGAATGGAAGTGGTTCAACTCCAGTTACTGGGTTTCGATTGGAGTCATGATTTACCCTTTGTGGATGTTATGTTCGTTCAGTATCAGTTAACATTCCTTTGAGTATATCCGAAAGTTGATGAATGATGCGTGAAGAGTCCGCACTTCCCTCTGGTGTCAATTTTGTAGATAATTTCATTTCTCCATATTCTCAACTTTTGGCATCAATGTTCTTCATCCCCCAATTTCTCATTTCTCGTTTTTTTGCTTTATTGCTGCAGGCTTTATACTTTTGTGTACCATTCCGGGAACAATTGCTTGAATACTATGCAAGTAATAAATCCACTGGGGATGCAGAAGAGAATCTCTTAACATGTTTGGCAGACTTATTTACACAGGTGATTGTCTGACTAAATAATATTTAGCTTGTATCATATTCTATTTTACATACCATTTCGATATTTAAGGATCTTGAATTCTGAATGCTTCGTCCAAAATAATGGTAGACCTACCTCGCTTCATTGTTCTATATGATTATTTGTTAAGGCAGGATGTTGCAAGTGAATGGTCCGCCTCTCTTTTTTCTCTCTAACTTCTCAAGGAAACAGCAATGTCTTTGACTGTGTTCTATAGTGTCATTGTTGGATTTTGTTGCATTTGGATTGGTTTCCCACATTTACCTGCTGAATCTTACGTAGCTCTTGCTTCGTCTGTTTTAAAGATTCGAGCGGTCTATTATGTCTCTGCTTTCCTACTCCTGTTTAGTGGAAAAGGCCTACTCACCAGATAATTATTTTCTTCTTCATATTTTCCTGCACCACCTAGTTATTGGCATTCTGGATTCATGTCATACTTTCTCTTCTATTTAGATAAGCTCACAAAAGAAGAAAACTGGTGTCATTGCACCCAAGCGGTTTGTCCAGCGACTGAAAAAACAGAATGAGCTTTTCCGTAGCTATATGCACCAGGTATGCCTTCAATCTTTCAAACAATTATCTTGAGGTGCATCCTGATTATAATACATGGTTTTCATAGCCATTCATAATATTAAGGCCGAATGAAACTGTCGATTTTGTAGGATGCTCATGAGTTTTTGAATTTTTTGCTCAATGAACTTGTTGACATTCTGGAGAAAGAGGCTAAAGCTGTTAAAAGCGATCCAGAAACTTCATCTCCACCTGAAAAGATTGCCAATGGCTCAAAGACTGCTCTGCCGAATGGAGTTTTGAAGGAGCCTCTTGTTACTTGGGTGCACAAGAATTTCCAGGTGAGATTCCTTAGTCTATGCATATTCAGCTATGATAATTACCTTGTTGGAAAACAAAAGCGTCCGATATGGTTTGCACTGAAATCACCTTGGTTATTTTTCTGTATCAGGGAATACTTACAAATGAAACCAGGTGTCTGCAGTGTGAAACAGTGACAGCTAGAGATGAGACCTTCTTTGATTTGAGCCTCGATATTGAACAGAACAGCTCAATAACTAGCTGTTTGAAAAATTTTAGTTCAACTGAGACTCTGAATGCAGAAGATAAATTCTTCTGTGACAAGTGCTGCAGGCAAGTTATTTTACTATCATCGTCTGGCATTTTGGGCTTCTATGAATGTTTACTTCTTCATTAAATGATTGACAATGACATTGCTAGTTTCAGCTACTTGGTCCCAAACCTTCTTGGTCCGTCCCATTGAGTCATTGTTCCTCTTTCTTTCCCCTGAGCCAAGGTTTAAAACTGACATTAAATCTTATGGGGTTCAGTTGCATGACAGTCTCCAATGCATCTGATAAGTATTAGCCTAAAATTTCTATTGATCCTTGTCCTTGTACCAACTGCTTGGAATGGTAATTTAAGGCATCTTGTTCTGTGCATTCTGTCTCATTGCATACCAAAGTTTCTCTGGTCATGTGTGCGTACTTTTCTCTTATAATAAATTTGGTTTCTGGTAGTGATCAATGAATTGAACGTTGTATAGTAATTGTTTGGCCTCCTAATGCTGTATGGAAATATGCTGTGTGCAGCTTACAAGAAGCTCAAAAGAGAATGAAGATAAAGAAGCCACCCCATATTCTCGTGATCCACCTCAAGAGGTTTAAATACATCGAGCAATTGGGTCGTTACAAGAAGTTATCATACCGAGTAGTGTTCCCCCTCGAGCTGAAGCTGAGCAATACAATGGAAGATTCAGATATCGAGTACTCGCTCTTTGCTGTGGTTGTACACGTTGGGAGTGGGCCCAACCATGGACACTACGTCAGCCTTGTGAAGAGCCATAATCACTGGTTATTCTTTGACGATGAGAATGTGGAGATGATTGATGAGTCTGCCGTGCAGACATTTTTCGGTTCAGCACAAGAGTACTCAAGTAACACGGATCATGGGTATATTTTGTTCTATGAGAGCATCACTGCTGCAAACAAGACTTGAAAGAGGAGCAAAGGTGGCCTTGATGTTTTTTTTGCAAGTAGGTAACTTGATTAATCATTTGGACTGGACTTCCCTCCTCTCTTTTGTGAACTTCCCTCTTCTCTTCTCTTCTCTTCTCTTCTCCTTTGTTTTTTCCCCCCTCCCTTCTTTTTTCATCCTCTTTCTAGCAGTTTCACTTTTTCTTGCCATTTTAAAACTCTGCAATCTCCAGCACTGGAGATGCTAAGATGGTTACAAGTTATGATGACGATGATGCAGTTGTTGAACAAAATGTATACTTTGAGGGTGTTCGTTTACATTGTACAGCAGATGATGGTGGGAAGCACACTATCTATCTTTCTAATTTTTTTTCCAGAAAATAAGGGTGGAAAAAGAGAGCAGCCAGTGTATATGTGTGAGAACACTTTACATGGAACAGAAAGAAAACAGATGTATTTTTTAGATTGAGATGAATGTTCAGTTACAACATTTGACAAATTGCATCTGCGACATTGCGCCACAAATTTATACATGTTTTGCTATAGCTGCTCACCAATATTGTACACTTGCTATCATGCCTAAGCTGTAGGCATGAAGATATCATCATCCAACAGCGATTTAAGATCAATTAGGTCATCGAAATCAGACCTTGCTCTTTCAGAACTTTGAACAGACTGCATATATGGAAGTATTTGTCAAGCATTGACCAGGATAATGAAGCGGTTATTGCGATATTTATCACAAGAATTAGTGAGGATTTAGTTCTCTACCTTTGTCTCCTTGATCTCTGTCACTACATTTCGAAGTCTGCGGTATTGATCTCTAGCTTCTGGATACTGAACCATGGACTTAACCCTGGCAAGAGCAATCTGAGATCTTGCCTCTGTTTGCTTCCTTCCTTCTTTAAAGAAATCGTAATCGTCTTCCCTGGATGATGGACGTTGCTGAATGCTGTTGGTGTTTTGACCTTCAGTAAATGACTCGGGTTTGAATCCGCGGAGACCACTTCTCTTCCTTCTCCATCGAAGTATCACCTTCTCCACAATCCCCACTGACCATATGATCTTCCTGTAGTTCTTCCTCACCTGGTGTCCTCTTACATGAGCCTTCATTGGAAAAACCAAAACCCACAGGGGAGGATTAAGTTTTCACTATATCCCATCAAAAGTCAGATACAGTGAGAAACAGCAATAACTCAATTAGTAATTACCTGAATCTTGACTATTTGTTGCCGGATAAACAAGAACTTCCTCCTACCTTTCCAACTCCGAAACTTGTTTTGAATCCTCACTGCAGCAGCTTGCACTGGCTCGTCAGGCTTCTTGCTGGTTCCCTTCACCTTGATTAACGAAAGTGCTTCTTCCTCGTCTGATATTCTTAGCTTCCCATCACCACGCTCTTTTAGCCGCTTTCTTTGAAATGACTGCACCCTGAACACTTGGTGAATACGAGCAGCAGCTTGAGTGGCATTGCTCAAAGCATCTAGCGACTCTTTCAAGGACTTTCCATTATTATCGTCTGGTGTTGTCCAAGGTTCTAGGACAAGTTGGACATTATTTGCACTAGAGACGGCGGGAACACCATTATTACTACCATGCTGCTTGTCCAGAGCTAGTGTGGTGAAGTGTGAAGTCAAAGCAGATTCAGCAAGGAAACCGGCGATTCCCTTGTGTCCATTTACAGAGGCTAAGTCAGCAGGTGTCCTGCTCGTAGGGTTTCCAGGAGTGGGATCTGTTAGTGCTCCAGGTGCTGCTCCAAGATGCAATAGGGAAGCAACTGTCCGCTCCCTGGAAAGAAGAAAAGAAAAAGTAATCACACCTTCCATTTGATCGGAACGAATAGAATCATCACCTAATGATATAAATTATCGCGAAAGAGAAATGATTTGAGGATCACAACTATATCTCCTTCAAAAATGCTCTTCGACTTCTCATTCAAATTTGCTATGAAATGACTATAGAGCTAAAAAAAAATGATCCAAGAATGCAAGACCGCAAGCAACTTTCAGAAAACAAAGATTTAAGTAATTCTCATTTTTATGCTTACCTGCCACAACAAGCAGCCCAATGAAGGGCAGTCCACCCATTGACATCACGAAAATCGACTCTCACCCCAGCAACGACCGTTGGCTCAAAGGCCCAATCAAACCCTAGAGCAGCTGCCAAATGCAGCACACCTTGCCCACTTTCATCCAATACACTTGCACCCTTCCCGCCTTCGGCTACCTTCTGCAAGAGCCAATCATGCAGTTTATCCTTTAAGAACTTCTGAAGTAGCTGGTCCTTCACTTTCTGAGCCGAAAACCCTTCCTCTGAAGTCGACCTCACCATCAAATCCCATTGATCACCTTCTTCTTTCAGCAGGAATCTGAGTTTACTGCTCATCTGGAAAAATTCACTTTCACCTATAATTCTTGCATCGAGCTTCACAGGGGAAACTGGACTCAGGCACAACAGCTTTCCAAATCTCATCTCGAGGTTTTCAACAGTGTTGTGACTATCGGCAGGACACACATCGTGGACAATGCTGACACGGAATTCAAATTCACGTACTTCGCTGCATGCTATCCTGTTCGAGCAAGTGATGTAAAATGGGATTCTCCCAGCCTCTAGCAAAGGGTTATAGCAACGGAGAACACCATCTGCTATAATCTCGACTGGAACTTCGACTTCTCCAAACATACATGACCATTTGCAGTTTTCTAGGTCTTCTTGGCTCTTCAAGAATTTTCCTGTGATCAAGACCTGCAGCACGTATAAAGACACGATGAAGCTAATCTTCCATGTGTCTGATCTCCATGCCAGCATGTTGAGTTTCTTATGACTTTATGTCGTAAGAAGATGAAGATTGAGAAAAATAGCTTGACTCATCAGATTTTTTTGGAGACAGGACAATTTGATGTCCAAAACAAGTTAGGAGTTGAAAGAAAGTAGATCTTTTGCTTGATTAGTAAGTTTAGGAATGTAGAAGGAACCATGGTCTATCATATCATAACGGGCTATATAAAGAGCTCTGAAATAGTTTTAGTAGGGTACCTTCACTTCTGTGCCAACGAATGCCCAGTTTGGTGAGAAATCAGCGATGGTGAAAAGCTGGTCATTGGAGAGGGAAGGAGTCATCAAATATGGGTCCAAGTGTGATTGAGACAGAAAACTGGAATTTTCAACTCCAGCTTCACTCTCTACACTTTGCCAGTATGTAGCAGAAGTGGATTGTCCAGGTGACTCATTTACTACATCTCCAAGTTCTTTACTCATCCAACGATTGAAGCTATCAAGTTTTTTCAGACTTTCTTCAGCCACATAACCATCCAACAAACGATCCTTCATGAAAGAACCACGGTGAGATTCTTTCTCAGGCATCACACTACAGTGTGCATCTGGCACCTGAAATTGGAGATAGATCATTGTCCATTGTACATAAAAGAGGTCTCAGATAAACTCAAATGTTGAGAATGCCAGTTAAAATACGAAAATCTGCCATCACTGAAGAAAAGAGAAGAACTTTACGAAAGATTTACGGTGCAAATTTTAAATGATGCAATACCTGCTGCCATTGTTCTTGGATTGCCACATGACTTGCAGAATCCTGCCTTTTACCAAAGCTACTTAAAATCAGGTTTCCCAGTAACATATCTCCTTGTTTGGGATTAATTGGTGCAGTATCAGCTGTTAGTGGAGATTGGAAGTCATTTGGCATGTGCTCAATTCCATAACTACTGTTTCCGAAGTCCCATGATGATAATTCAACTTGACTTTGCGATCCAAATTCTGATCCAGTACCATTAACATCTTTGAGTTCACCAGTTTGAGCATATGAGGAAACAACTGGCAGCTTCCCTGTATTACCATCTGTAAGACTTAGAATGCGATTAGATTAAAGTATGATGTTAACAAGTGGACACATCAAAGGGAGCATAAGAAATAATTTACCCGAACAGGACACATTTAGGCATGAATTAGACTGTTGGCCCTCAAAAACAGCATGGAATCCAGAACTTGCCTGCTGGTTGTACACTGCATTCAGAGTTTGAAAGATTACAAAATTGGAAAAGTTAAGCAGGTAGCTGTATGAGTTAGTTGGGTGAATCAGGTCAGTCAACACATGGATATGTGTTTGGTTGGATCTTCCAGGCAGGAAACAAGTTGAAACAAACACACCCTTACAAGACTACCTGACTCTACATCCTCGTATTCTGAAGCTTTGCCACTGGCCATGTTTACTGTGTCTTCTGTTGTCTGTGTAGCCATTTGGTAACTGTAAGAGTGATAGTTGGATGAAACAGAAGTGTCCATCTCAGAATTCTGAGCAACTCCATCGTCTGTTTTCGGGGAATTTGAAATAGCCTCTGCGGTCTCTTTGGCACGGTAGAAGCTCGCCCTACTATTCCCCTGCTGAAAAATTTTAAATGGAATCTCGGATGAGATATTTGACGAATGGCAGTGAAGCACGAGACTATTATAAGATATATGCATCGCTCAGATCAAAATTGACCCTTAAGTATCACAGACAAGAAAAGACTAATCAAGACAAAGAGTCAAGAGAGTAGATCAACCAACCGTTACTTCTCGATAGTGGACAAGAACTATGCGTGATAGTTTCCTGCAGCCAAAAGAATATGATTGACCCAATCGATTAAACCAAAATGTAGAAACACGGCTAAAGATGTATACGAGCAATATGAATTAACCATGCATGCATGTCACCACTACTAGAACTTATGAGCTATGGGGCAGTTAACATCAACGAGAGATTGTAAGTACAAAAAAATAGAAATTCATCCAGGAAAAACTGTAAAAGTAAACCACTCCACAAAGGTAAATCAATCAGGAAAACTGATTAGCATGTGGTGCCTACTGTAAAGAGAAGGTACATCATCCTCTCGGCAGTAATTTTGTTGCCAATGACAACTTCAAGAACACTTAACTTAGTTAAGGATCCTTAAATCAGCCACTCACACTTGGAATGCATCAATTTATATCCGAAATACAGTCAAGTAAACGTGAACATACTCTTCAAGCATCCAATATGTTCTTCTTTGAAAATTCTCATTTCCTTCTCCATGTGCATAATAGCAATGCAGCACATCAATGCTGCCAGACTGAAAGAAAACAATATAGTTACGGTGTTTAAATTCCATGATGTAGTGTCTGACTTAAAAGTATGCCCCCCCCCCCCCCCCCCCCCCCCCGGTTCAAAAAATTTGAGAGGAAAAAGACATATACCTTGAGCCTCTCATGAGCTTCTTTCTTCCTCCAGTTATGCCCATCTTTTCTGAAATATCTCATTACCTTGCGGTCAAACAGGAAAAGGGAACCACCTACAATTGAACCACAATAATGTGAAGTAGAGCCACTTCTGCTGTTTCCGTATAGAATGACCAAATCATTTAGCAAGTCTGGGAACTCATACTATTTCCTTGCACCAAGCAGTTTCACTTTGTTATACGGTCTTACTCCATAATTACGAGAATCGATTAAAACTAATGCTAGAAATCACTTCAATGGCAAGCAGTCAGGAACCACAAAACAACAGAAAACTAATAGTGTCCCCAAATTCCTGTTTGACTTCATCCACCTAAGAAGTCAAACCAGAAAATGACTTAACTCGCTTTACCTATTGGAAAGTAAGAACATTATCTGATGTTGATTTCAGAAATGCTTAAGCTAAAGACCATCTTGGACTTGTTGCTTACTTGTACTTATACTCCATCAAAATTTCTTACTTGGTGGCCTGTTTTGGGGCTCTTGGGCAATACGGAACTTGTCATGGTTGCGCAGAATTTCACAGATTTCTGCAGGCCGTAGCCACCGATGTTGCGCTTCCAAAAGTATTTGATGAATACTCTCATTCCACCCTGCAGATTACCACAGTTAACAACAAAATATCAACACAAAACGAATGATTCCTGCGTAGTGGCAAGCAAAGCAAAACAAATACATTCAAGCTCAATCATCCCACATCAAAAGGGGAAACGCTTTCTGCTTCAGTATAGAAATCCACTGGGGTTGACTTGGAAGGGGAGAACGGAGAAGCAACAGCGAAGAACAGGGCGAAAAGCAAATACGAACTCCCCACTTCAAGAAATTTGCTTTCAGTTGAATCCGACTTTGGGAGTGAAAGCTTAGAAGCGAATATATTTATTTACCTAGATGGTCATCAGGTAGAGACGCAGCCATGAATGAATTCTTTTCTTTTTCTGTAGTCACGCTGAATTCAACTTCATCTCAGTCAGTGAGAATAAGTTAGCTGTAAGAGCGTCAAGTCGAAAGCTTTTTATCTTTATCTGATGGAGGAACCCAAATTGAAAATGGCGGAAAAGAACTAGGAGAAGGGGGGAAAAGAAATCGATTGAGAGATATGGGAAGAAACACTCAGCCGCCGAAATGGAAAATTTTCGAACAGAGGACAGTTAGCTGACGTCGGGCGGTCATCACTTTGGCCACGTCATACTTAGACCAGCTCCAAAAAGAAAGGGAAGAAAGCTAGGAGTAGGGGTGTTCAAACGGTTTGGTTACCATGGTAACCATTTTAACCAGTAGTATTTGGCTAATTTGGTTTGGTTAATTTCGATAATTGGTTTGGTTTGGTTAAAAAATTTAGCTTGTTTGGTTTAGGTGGTCTGGTTTGGTTTCAGACACTCCTAACCAATCAAACCAAATTAACCAGTTAAGTAATTTGTCATATATCTAATATATATTATATACACATACTTAATACTTTGCATAACCACTCAAGAGTCAAATGTAAGATAATTGTATTTGTTACATGTATTTACGTTAAGGGTTAACTATAATTATGTGGATTGTTATGTGTTGTTCATTATATAAATTGCAAATTGATGCACTAACTGAAAAATTTTCTCACTTAATGATAATGTGGTGTTATATTGGTTATTTTGGTTAACCAATTAACCAAACCGAATAAACTTCAGTTTGGTTAATTTGGTTGTTGTATTAGTTTGGACGGTTTGGTTATGATATTGTATTCCATGGTTAATAGATTTTAGACTTATTTGGTTTGGTTATTACCATGGTTTCCATTTGAACACCCCTAGCTAGGAGTATGACTGTATGAGCTATATTTGGTTTTTTGCTCACTAAAAAGAGTTTGCTCAATAAAAAGAGTTTTGCTCCAAAAGAAAGCAAAAAGATCCAACTTTGCCTTTTGTGTTAATATCTATTAGTGTAAATTTAAGCACCTTAATTAGATTATTTTTTATTATTTATATATATAGTTTTAATTAATTAAGATGACATCATTTTTTTTTAATTTTGATAGGGCTTTTAATTTTGACATAAAAAAGTATTACTGCAAATTCAAATATGATGTTATCAATGACAAAAAAAAAAATAGGTTCAAATAGTCATTTGACGGATTGAGTTTGCTATCAACTACTCATCCAACTTTTGTGAGATTGAGTTGTGCTATCAACTATTCATTCAACTCTAACCATAAATGAGTTGTGTTCATTCAACTTTAATAGTAAATGAGTTGTGCCATCAATTGTTCATTCAATTTTAATCATAAATGAGTTGTGCAATCAACCGTTCATCCAAACTTTCATCTTATTATTATAGAAGGAATCATTTCGTTGTTCTATAAATGAACCCACAAACTTGACAATTACGCTCATACACCATTGAACCTTCTTTATTGCAAAAATCATTCAACCTTGCATTCGTACATCTCTCTAGCCACCAAAACTCTTTTGTTTTCGTGCCCTGATAGAGAAGCTGATGAGAGGCAAAGAGAAACTGATGAAAGACAATAGGAGTATGTGTGTCAACTTGAGCGTGAACGTATACAAATGTTCATGATGTACGCAAACCATCCTCACCGACATCAAGCAACTTCAGCTGGTGAACGTTCATCAACATGAAAATCAATGAGACGTAATAAGCAAGATGGTCACAAGCACCTGATGCAAGATTATTTCAACCCAAATCCAACCTATGACGCTAGGGCCTTCACAAGGCGGTATCGGATGTCCCATACCGCGGAATTAAAAAGAAAGATCTTCGACAGCGTTTCTTATCACAACCCTTTTTCGTAGCAGAACTCCATAGATTTATGGAATTGGTTACTCAACCGATTCATGAATGATGTGGTTCAGTATGATGTCTACTTCAAGCAAGGGAAAGACGTTGCCGATCGTGACTCTTTATCCTCACACCAAAAGCTTACTAGTACTTTCTGCATACTTGCATTGGATGCTCACTAGACTTTTTGGATGAGTCATGTCAAATGGGTGAGAGCACCATACCGGAGTGTCTAAGGAAATTCTCCATCGTGCTTGACAGGGGCAAACCTAAGGGTAGGGGTTTGTAATGGTCCGGTCCGTACTAGACCACACCAGACCAAACCGACATTTGGAACGGATCGTACTGGAACCGAGTATAATGCGGTCTAGTCCTTGGTCATATGAATTTTAGGGGTCGTTTGCTTCAAGGATTTATAACGAGGGATTTGTCATGGATTTGCTAATTAAAAACCTTGGAATTTATTAGAGATTTTGTGCATTATGGATTTGAGGAAATCCTTTATTTGTTGAGCTATTTTTATCATGAATTTGATGGTTTTTCAGCTTATCTCTAAATCTCAGGGTATGAGGTGAGATTTATAAAATCGTGAGGCCTATGAATTCCAGCAAAAAAACCCAAATTGGTGGGGTCCACAGATTTACCTAAATATTTTTGGGTTAATTGCAAGGATGGTCACTAGGTTTACTAAAACCGTTCATGTTTGGTCACTGCAAATATTTAATTCCATTCATGGTCACTAAGATTAGTTCAATAGTTCAAGTTTGGTCACTCTCCGTTAGTCTCCGTTAGTTTTTGCTGATGTGGCAGTCAACTATTATAGTTGACCGTTAAATGAGTGACGTGGCCATTAAAAAAAATATATTTACAATTTCCACCTCATTTTACTACGGTTAAAATAAAAATAAAACTAGTCCTTACACACTCTGCTCCTCCCAGAAATCAATAGTGACCATTCCCTCAATTTTCCATCACACCTGTCCATTTCCCCTCCTCTGTCCCTATTCTCAATCTTTCCTCTCTCGCCATGAGAGGATTCCCAGAATTCTACCACTTCTCCTCCTCAACAACATCCACAGTCACCTACGCCTTTCACGATGAAGCCACCCAACTGCTGCCGCCGTTGACCAAGCAAATTCCCATCCACTCCATCAAACCACCGACACCAGATCCGCCTCCGCCGCTGCGACCAAAATCCAGGCGGCGTACCACGCCCGCGCAATCCGCCTGCTCTACCGTACGATCTCGGCCGTGGACGCCGAGTCAGGGGAGATCGAGCGGCGGATCCAGCGGCAGGAGACGGTGGACGCGGTGAGGAGGGAGGAGAGGGAGAAGGCGAGGGTGAACGAGGAGCTGATGCGGCTGCTGCTGAGGCTGGACGCCGTCCCCGGGTTCGATCCGGCGGTGAGGGAGGCGAGGAGGAAGAGCGAGCAGGCGGATTGTCGGGATTCAGGAGGTGCTCAACGGGATCTGCGAGTCGAGAGTCGAGGATTGGGACTGGGACGGCGGTGGCGGCTGGGAATTTTGTTGGGATCGGACGGTGGCGAAGATGGAGGAGCGGAGTGTGTAGGGAGGTTAGTTTTATTTTTATTTTTAATAGTTGTAAAATGAGGTGGAAATTGTAAATATTTAAATTTTATTATTTTATTATTTTTTAATGGCCACGTCACTCATTTAACGGTCAACTATAATAGTTGACTGCCACATCAGCAAAAACTAACGGAGACTAACGGAGAGTGACCAAACTTGAACTATTGAATTAATTTTAGTGACCATGAATGGAATTAAATATTTTCAGTGACCAAACATGAACGGTTTTAGTAAACCCAGTGACCATCCTTGCAATTAACCCCAAATATTTTTTGACAAAACAAACAATGGATTGTGTGTAAATCCAATGATGGTTGGTTTTTTATAAACAAATCCAATCTATAATGCAATCGTTACCGAGTCATAAATAGTAAAATAGACCGTTATTTGTCAATAGGTATAACCTTTCCTAGGTTTGCATAGTTGGCTTGCCCTCTCTCTCAGCCTGCATCTATATCATCGAATCCCCACTTTCTATCTCCCTATCTTCCACCAACGGCTTTTTGTAGCGATTCTCGCCACTTCTCTCGCTCTCTCCCTCTCTTCCGTGCTCTTTATATTTGGAAACCTGCAGTGGAGTCGTTTCGTTTCTGTAGGAGTCCAATCCAAGCAACTACTTCAATTCCCGTGAAAGGAAAAAGGAGGGAAACGTCGGACAATTGTTTTGCAGCACAGGGTTTTTCCTTCGTTTTGTTGTGGTGGACAGAATTGGCGTGGTTTAGGCGGGGATTTTGACCACGCAGATGCAGCAGATTGTTAGTCGATTCTGTTTGCTGCTGGTTATATGCTCTGTTGTTGAGTTCCACGAGAGGATTCTGCGTCTCTTTCTGGGGGTTTTCCTGATGGAATGCGCCGCCTGCCTCAAGTTTTTGACTCTGATCAGCGATTTCCGTGATGGGTTCATTGTGTTTGGTTGTTTCTCTCCGTCTTTCAATTTCCTGTGGCTTTTTTTGCTTTTCGCCTTTGGGTTGAAGCTGCTCCGGGTCACTTTCTTCGGGATTGGTCTGCTTCAGTTGTTTCTGTCTGATGTTAGAGTCAAGTCAATTGATCCCAGAAATGGGTTTTCTTATAGAAAAGGTTTCGATTTAGCATTCCACTCCAAGGTCGCCTCTTTCAGGACCGGTCCGGCGAATTGCTTGGCGATTGAGGATTCAAACGATTCCGGCTCGGTGAAAGAGGTTGTGAATTCGAGGAAAATCGATTATGTAGAGGAAGATGAGAGGACGGAATGTTTCGCTGAGGAAGATGATGAATTTGACGTGTTGGCATTGAGGAGATTGGTTAGGAATGAGAGACGGAGAGCTGTGGGGGCTCAATTGGAGCTGGAGAAGGAAAGAATGGCTGCAGCATCTGCTGCTGATGAAGCAATGTCTATGATTCTAAGGCTTCAGAACGAGAAAAGCTCCTCAGAGATGGACGCCAAGCAGTACCGCAGAGTGGCGGAACAAAAGCAGGAGTATGATCGAGAAGTGATCCAGTCCCTCCAATGGATCATCATGAAGCATGAATACGAAAGGAGCTTGCTGGAAGAGAAGCTCGAGTTATGCAGGCAACAGCTGCAGCGCTGCCTGAGGAGAGATGAAATGGAGGAACTTGACGCGGCTCTCATCTCATTAGGTTCAACCTCTGATTGTGGTTTGGATGAGGAGGATGAATTGAAGATGGG